CCTGCTGAAAATGAAAGATTGAAAACACTCATCCAGTAGAACCCCTTCATTTTATAGATGAGGAAGTCCAGAGGCCCAGAAAAGTCATGTTTTTCCGTCAGCAAGGAATTTAGGGGCAGAAATGGGATGAGACCCAGCTAACCCGATACCTGATGCAGTGCTTTTTCTGTGTAAAACACTTAGCAGAGCCTGGTGCACGGAACATCAGCTCTTTTTGCTGCCGTTACCCTGTCCCACCTCAGTGGCTCCTCCTGAGATAGACAGATGGGAGTTTGGAGGCCATGGAACATTCCTCCCATGCTTCTCAGCAGAGGCACCTTGTCTCATGGGACGGCCTGGCATGTTCCAGGTGCCTAATAAACCTGGCCCTCACCCACCTGATGCCAGCTACATCCCCCAATTATCCTGTGGAAGACACACACACACATACACTGACAGCTCATCCACACATGTCCAAACACCTGCTAGGAGAGCAGCACTGCTGACTGAGCCATGGGTGCTTTTCCCTCCACGTGTCGTGGCCCTGGTTACATTGCTTTGCACAGCCCTCTCATCCCCAGCTCTGTGCTGCTCCAGCAGGTAGTAGCCATGCTTCCTTGGAGATCTCCAGGGCCAGGTTTGTGTTTTGGGGTACCAAACTAGGTCATGTCACACTCTCCAACCCAGGAGAGAGGTCTCCCTGTGGTCAAGCATTTCACAGATTTTGCCTGTCAGATGCCTTACTAGTCTCCCCCCAACCCTCTCCCCCATGGGGTAACTGAGACACCTCAGAGTCTTGCCAGTGTCTCCCACCCTGGTCACCACTGTGACACCCCAGTGCCCTGCCAACACCCATGGTAGGAGGATCAGAAACTTTGTGCTAGCCAGCAGAGCAAGAATAAGTCACGTAAATGCACAAATGCAGAGAACTCTGTGTCCCAAAGCGTTATCTGAATGGTGGGAATTTGGGCCCCCAGTGATGGATGGCCAGCGTGTTATTTTAGTAGGTGCAGAAAATAATGGCCTTTCATTCTGCATGTCATTGTGCTGTTATGTTTCCTTCACATAATAGGAAATGCTTTTCCAAATGAGTGTTAAGTTTCTTTACAGACACAAAGAATAATCGGAGATGTCCCTCTTATGCCATGTTTTGTCATTTGGGTCTTCATTTATTATTTGAGCTATTTCCTGTTTGTAACTTAGATGTATACCTGCCCCAGTGGTCATTCTGTCCTTCCTTTTCATGGATTTTAAAGGATTTTTTTTTTTTTTTTTGGTATCCTTTTCCTTTTTCCTCTCCTAAGGTACAAAAGATAACAAAAGTATCTCTTGGGAGCTGGCTACACAGCGTTACCCTGAGTGAACTTCCAGGTGGGGTGAAACCTACCCTAAAATACATACTTCTTGTCAGAGTTAAAAGAGAGATTGTGCTGGCATATGCGTATCACAGACCTGTTACTTACTGTTCCTTCTTATTTAAAAATGTTCACTTATTGTTTTCCTGTTCTTTGTTGTAATTCTAAGGCTCAGTTATTTTATCTCCCAACTGTTGGGAAATAACTTTTTGCAGGAGAAGCGTCTTTGACAATGTTGAATGAGTCATAACTGTCCTCAGACCTGTCTCATATTTTGTGTTTGGATAACACCTTGATGGTAGTAATTTAAAGTTCTGCATGGCCTAAGAAAGTCGTCTGCCGGGCAGTTTGATGTGAGGGAAGGGACACCAGCCTTTGAGTTGTACTTCCTGGGCTGGCTAGTAACCACGGTGTTTGCTAGCTGTGTGACCTTGGGCAGTGACTTTGTGGTTTTCTGTTTGTGTAATGGCGTTTTCCACCAATTTGCAGGTCATCATGGCAATTGGCAACAATGTCTCTTGTTGGTAGCTATTATTATTCCTATTTTGAGATTTTTTTTTTCTGGATGGTAACTATAGATCCCCACAACATTTGCAACTAAAATTGTGTCATTTAAGTAACTGAAACACTAGTTAAAATTCAGCATATTTTTGTTTCTTCAAAACAGGAGAGACATTTTTTATATTTTTTGGTAGAAGTGAGCAGTGACTGTCTTCCAGGACATGGTGGGAAGGACATTCGTTGACTGGAGATCTGAGCAGTGTCAATTAGCCTGAACAATACTGGGTTTTGTAGCTGTGGACAGAAAGCTGGAGTAGTGGTCAGTTATGTGAAGAGAAATCACGTTGGCATTGGTGGGTTGCTAGCTTGGTGATGGTTCAGGCATGGCCCACCCCCGCCCGGTAGCCAGCCTCCTCCAGGCTCTACCTGAGTCACGGGGAACTTTCTGAAATCCCTTGTTTCATGGTCCACCTGTGGGCTTCCACTGAGCCACAGGTAACTCCTGAGGAAGTCAGGGCTGGTAAGATGAAGGTGCTTGGGCAAATCCAACACCCCTCCCAGACCAGGGTGCCTACTAATTCAGCTGTTTATTCATGGACCAAAAAAATCCAGTCTTTTGAGTCCATCAGTGGTCTAGAGACAGAGAATTTTTAGGGAGGAGTAAGAAATAAAGCTAAATATAACCTGCCCCAACTTTTAAACAAAATGGCAAGAGTAGAAATACAGATTAACCCCCTTGTCAACCTGTGCCATTTCAACATGATCGTATCATTTTCTTAAAGTATATTTTACATTTCCCTGTGATTCCGGAGATTAATTTGTCACAGAATATTCTAGACTTAATTTAGTTTGGAAACTTAAGAATGAGAATGCACAAGTTCATTTTAACTGGGCTGCCTCAGAGCCAATCCTCAGCCCCATGCGGTGCCACAGAAAGTGGCTCTGATGTGCTACCAGTTTGCTGGTGACTGTGGTGCAGAGGAGAATCAGGGATAGAGAATTTCTTTGGACAGTCTGCACCCCATGTCGCTGATCTGCTCTTACAGCCAGGCATGACGCAGCCACCATTTTCTTCCTGTTCACCGCCTTCCTTAGCCTCTGAGATGTACAGCTTTTAAAACTCTAGCACCCTTTTCTTCCCCTTGCATTTAAGTGAAAAGCTGACCAGTCTATAATATAAAGCATAGAATTATGGTAATGAATAAGAGGTTAAAAGCTATCATGGCAAGTGGAACTTAAGCAGGTTTGGCTGACTGATATGGTAAAATTATGTGTTGAATTAAAACATTAAAATGCGGTGGGATTAATGGAGAAAGACAGGAACAGGAGGTCAGAAACAACGCTAAATCAGCACATTAACTGCCTGTGGGCCAGAGGGGCTGGCTTTAATATATGCAGAGAAAAAAAAAAAAACATGCAGAGGAAAAAAAAAAAAAGTAATTTAGTCCTTGTTTCCTCCAGGTGAATAGAACCACAGACTTTTCAGTCTGGGAGGCAACTAGTACATATATTTATTTCCCCTTCTTTTCTTAGATGGGGAGGAAATAGGCACTACAGAATATTTAGTTGGTTAACAAAAAAAAATACTGACTTTATAATTTGGAGTTTTTGTTTTTGTTTT